TTTTTTTAAAAAAAGAATCATTATCTTCAAATGATTCTAGTGAACCAAATCAAAGCAACAAATTAAATTCCAAGTCTTTTAGCACCTAGACATTCACCTGCATACGTTTTTTTAAAATTATATTGTTATTTTTTTGTGTCACTATTATATATTATATATATGTCATCGTATAATTAATCGTATTTGATATGTACCATCAAATGATTCTCGTGAACCAAATCAAAGCAAACAAGTTAAAATCCAAGTCTTTTAGCAGTTATTAAAATACCCTGTATTAATCTAGTTATAAAATCCAGAAAACCTCGACTAATAAGCAACAAAATGAGAAAAAAATGACTTGGAATTTAATTTGTTTGCTTTGATTTGGTTCACGAGAATCATTTGAAGATAATGATTCTTTTTAAAAAAAATATATAGTGTTTTCTCGTTTTTTTATAAAACAAATAAAATTATTTCTTCTTGATTTAATATTTATTTTATATATTATTCTTATATTTGTTTTATTTAAATTTCATCTTTATTTTATTTAAAATTTTGTGAATTTTCTTATTTTGGGATTTTTTATAATTTTTTAAGTTTTTCTTATTTTTAATATTTTATTAATCAAATATTTTATTTATTTTGTGATTTTTAATGTTAATGATTTTTGTGATTTTTTTGAATTTTTTATGATTTTTAATGAATCTTTAATGATTTTTTAATGATTTTTAATGAATTTTCTATTTTTTGTATTTTTATATTTATTTATTAGTAAAATATTTTTTTTTAAAAAGAAACCGACACGTCATCGCTTATGAATAGTACCGGTCACATTTTTAACTTGAAGTACAAGTAAGCCAGATTGGAGGTTTAATATGCTAAATTTGTCAACTTGAGTGTTTAAAGTGCTTGTAAAATACTCTCAATACTAGGATGAGACCCGTGCTTTGCACGGGGTGAGATATTTATATCAATTTTTTTTTACATATTTGTTGCTTGATTTGAGTATTATAATGTACATATGTGTGCATCACGGGGTGAGATATTTATAACCTTATTTTTTTTTACATATTTGTTGCTTGATTTGAGTATTATAATGTACATATGTGTGCATCGAATAAATTCAGAGGATTTAAACATGTGTAATAGGTTGTCTTAAAAACGACAGAAGTGTAATACATTGTGTATAAGTTAAGGTGTAAAAGAATGATAATGATATTGTAAGAATCAAAATCTCAGCATGTAAGTAACGATGGAACAAAGAGTATAATTGGAAATTAAAACTCAATAGATATTAAAATTAAAAAATAACATAAGGAGAATCATGAATTAATAAAGCAACATAATATAATAAAAATAAGATTAAGATCCAGCGAGTCAATAGTTCTTTGCTTCAGTGGACATAGTA